CCTCTTTATCCCCTTCACCTATTTCCCCCCAACCTTCACGATGGCAACCATTAGTTTCTTCTCTGGTCTGTGACTCTATTTATTTTTAGATTCCACATATAAGTGAAGTCATATGGTATTTGTCTTTCTCTGTCAGGTTTATTTTACTTAGCATAGTACCCTCTAGGTCTATCCATGCTGTTGCAAATGGCAGGATTTCTTAAAATTTATGGCTGAATAATATTCCATTGAGTATATGTACCACATTTTCTTTATCCCTTCATTTATTGATAGACACTTAGGTAGTTTCCATATCTTGGCTATTGTAAATAATGCAGCAGTAAACATAGTGGTGTGTATGTCTTTTCAAATCAGTGATTTTGTTTTCTTTGGGTACATTCCTAGAAGTGGAATTACTGGGTCATAGGGTATTTCTATCTTTAGTTTTTGAGAAACCAAGTGAGAACTTCTAACAATAAGGAACTCTTCTTTCTAGGGCAGTGCTCTTTTTCTTATGCTGTGTAAATCAATATAAACCTGAGGCCTGAGAAAGAAGAATTTTCACTAGATGAATAAAATTCACAAAGTAAAATCAAGAGCTTCTACCATTCATGTCCATGGAAAACTATTTCCCATTCTATCATACATACATATTTCAAACACTTTTTTTTAAAAGGATTTTGGAGCTTTGATGCTAGTTCACCTCAAAATAATTTGGTTCAGGCCAATATGGTGTCTTAGAGTTATAGAAGTGTCAGGTATATGCCACTCACATATGTAATGTAATTTTTAGCTTTCTGAGGACAAGAACAGCTCACTTGGGAAAAAATTTCTATCAGCACTGCGGAAAATCTTGATTTTTTTCAACAATGCATTGGTAGATAAAAGCTACAATCAACAGCATTCAATAACATTCTGAAATAGTCATAATCTCTAATCACTGGAACTCTAGAGTTCAGTATTAGTTACATAGACCAATGAGGTTCACTTTTGAGGTGTTACATACATGGCACACAGCTTCTTTTTTTATATTTTCTATTTTTTAAATTAAAGTATCATTGATATACACTTTTATGAAGGTTTCACAAGAAAAACAATGTGGTTATTACATTCACCCTAATTATTGAGTCCCCCCCATACCCAATTGCAGTCACTGTCCATCAGTGTAGTAAGATGCCACAGAGTCCCTATTTGTCTTCTCTGGGCTACACCATCTTCTCCGTGACCCCCCACACACCATGTGCACCAATCATGATACCCCAAAATCCCCTTCTCCCTCCCTCCCCACCCGTTCTTCCCCACCCCTCCCCTCTGATAACCACTAGTCCCTTCTTGGAGTCTGTGAGTCTGCTGCTATTTTGTTCCTTCAGTTTTGCTTTGTTGTTATACTCCAGAAATGAGGAAAATCATTTGGTATTTGTCTTTCTCTGCCTGACTTAGTTCACTGAGCATAATACCCTCCAGCTCCATCCAAGTTGTTGCAATTGATAGGATTTGTTTCTTTCTTATGGCCGAATAGCATTTCATTGTGTATATGTACCACATCTTCTTTACCCATTCATCTACTGATGGACACAGGTTGCTTCCATATCTTGGCTATTATAAATAGTGCTGTGAAAACACAGGGGGTGCATATGTCTTTTTGAATCTGAGAAGTTATTTTCTTTGGGTAAATTCCTAGGAGTGGAATTCTTGTATCAAGTGGTATTTCTGTTTTTAGTTTTTTTGAGGAACATCCATATTGCTTTCCATAATGGTTGAACTAGTTTACATTCCCACCAGCAGTGTAGGAGGGTTCCCCTTTCTCTATATTCTCACCAGCATTTGTTGTTCCTAGTCTTTTCTATGTTGGCCATCCTAAGTGGTGTGAGGTGATATCTCATTGTGGTTTTAATTTGCATTTCCCTGATAATTAGCAATGTGGAGCATCTTTTCATGTGCCTGTTAGCCATCTGAATTTCTTCTTTGGACAAGTGTCTGTTCATATCCTCTGCCCATATTTTAATTGGGTTATTTGTTTCTTGGATGTTAAGGTGTGTGAGTTCTTTATGTATTTTGGATGTTAACCCCTTATTAATATGTCATTTACAAATATATTCTCCCACACTGTAGGATGTCTTCTTGTTCTGCTGATGGTGTCCTCTGCTGGTACACAGCTTCTTAAATGGCAGAATATAGAGCTTTATCAGAAAGAATCAACAAAAAAGACAGAGAAGATAGTATCCTTATTAGTAACAAGATCAAGAATAAGAGTAGACAGTATGAACAACAACTGGTGTTGGCAAAACTGGACAGCTACATGCAAGAAAATGAAACTGGATTATTGTCTAACCCAATATACAAAAGTAAACTAGAAATGGATCAAAGACCTGAATGTAAGTCATGAAACTATAAAACTCTTAAAAGAAAACATCAGCAAAAATCTCTTGAATATAAAATGAGCAACTTTTTTCTGAATGCATCTCCTTGGGTAAGGGAAACAAAATAAAAATGAACAAATGGGACTACATCAAGCTAAAAAGCCTCTGTACAGCAAAGGACACTATAAACAAAACAAAAAGGCATCCTACAGTATGAGAGAATATATTTGTAAATGACATGTCTGACAAGGGGTTAACATCCAAAATATATAAAGAACTCACACATGTCAACACCAAAAACCAAATAACCCTATTAAAAAGTGGGCAGACACTTGTCCAAAGAAGAAATTCACATCGCCAACAGGTACATGAAAAGATGCTCCATATCACTATCAGGGAAATGGAAATTAAAACCACAATGAGATATCACCTCACTCTAGTTAGGATGGCCAACATCAGAAACACTAGGAAGAACAAATGCTAGCAAGGATGTGGAGAAAGGGGAACCCTCCTACACTGCTGGTGGGAATGTAAACTAGTTCAACCATTATGGAAAGCAATATGGAGGTTCCTCAAAAAACTCAAAATAGAAATACCATTTGACCCAGGAATTTTACTCCTAGGGATTTACCCAAAGAAAACAAGTTCTTAAATTCAAAAAGTCATATGCACCCCTGTGTTTATCACAGCACTATTTACAATAGCCAAGATATGGAAGTTACCTAAATGTCCATCAGTATATAAATGGATAAAGAAGATGTGGTATATATGCACAATGGAATACTATTAAGCCATAACAAAGAGAACAAATCCTACCATTTGCAACAACATGGATGGAGCTAGAGGGTATTATGTTTAGTGAACTAAGTCAGACAGAGAAAGACAAATACCAAATGATTTCCATCATTTGTGGAGTATTAACAACAAAGCAAGTCTGAAGGACCAAATCAGCCGCAGACTCACAGACTCCAAGAAGGGACTAGCGATTACCAAAGGGGAGGGGTGGGGGAGGCTGGGTTGGGAGGGAGGGAGAAGGGGATTGAGGGGTATTATGATTGGCACAAATGGTGTGGCGGGGATCATGGGGAAGACAGTGTGGCACAGAGAAGACAAGTAGTGACTCTGTGGCATCTTACTACACTGATGGGCAGTGACTTCAATGGGCCATGGTTGGGGGGCTTGATAATATGGGTGAATGTAGTAACCACATGTTTTTCATGTTATACCTTCATAAGACTGTATATCAATGACACCTTAATAAAAATAAAAAAAAGAGTAGATAGTATGCAATAACTTAAAATACAGATACAGTTGTAGATTCAATAAACTTTTACCTAACATCTCTTAAGTGTTAATAAGTACAAAGATGAAGAAGAAATGATGCCTACCCTTAAGGAACCAGTTACAGGAGGAAAAAAACTTATAAAGGAGATGGAGGGGGTGGGGTGGAATAAAATGAGAAAAGCCAGAATAGTATTGCCCCCAGAAGAATAATATTTCACTTGACAAGGAGCCTCAAGAGAGTTGGTACAGATTAAATGGCCTAGAAACTTGACCCTTTGGGCTGTCAGTTCTAAAAGCAAGCAAGACTATCCAATTTGTCTTTATTTTCTGCCTAACTCATTTGCTTCAGCTTGTAAGATTCCTTTCTCTATTTCTTCTTCCTTTACAATACTGGGAGAAGGGAGCTGCCCTGCTCATAGAAAGCCTTTTTCCTTAGGAACTTGAAATTCCAAGCCAAGCCATAAGAAATCTAGACTTTATTTGTAAGACTATTTAGCTTAGCAAAAGAGCTAGGGAGAGTCAAGAATTCCTCTAATAGCAAACCAAGTTTAAGCCATTGGACTAGCTGCCTGATTTTCAAGGAACCTCTGGAGAACAGAAAGAAAAAAAATCCATTTTCAAAGAGGATGGACTTGAATTTATGATTTACCTTAAACAGAATGCTCCTAATACCAGGGAAGAAAAAAAGAGAATCAAAATGATTATATAAATATGTGAAGGTGCCATTTTGGTAATAAAAATGTTTTGTATTTCTTTAGTACATCCTTTTATCATTACTAATGTGTTTTAAATTGATTATCTCATTCAGCCTAAAAATAGTTCTGTGATATAAAAAAAGTAGTAATCATCATGATTTTTACATACTCTAGGCATACTTTAAAAAGAAACATGACTCTTCAAAGATATAATCTATGAAAGATCTGTCTGCATAAATACTCTTAATCATTAAAAGATTGACACAGCAGCCTGCAGAAAGAAAACTGTGCAGGATGATACTCCAAAGCATTTCTATGAGAAAAGCCAGCTATGTAAAATATAGGTTAAAGGAACACTGACTAAAGGAAGTCCAAGTGAATATTCTGAATAATGGATAAAGTTAAAAAGTATAAGAGGGACCTAAAAACGATCTAACAGATCAAAGAGGCAGTTGTTGAGAGACCATAGCCATGACCATTCATGGGACTTATCAGTGGACAAAACTAGCTTCACTAAAGGCATGTTCCAAAACATGTTTGGGCAGCCTTCTTCCAAACTACCAAAACTAACTCACTGCCACTACATAATCAGCATTGTCCCTGCTTGATTCTTCCTGTACCTTGTCTGCTTCCAAGTACCTCCTCTGGGCTTGCATTATTAGCAAAGCACTCATGTACTTACTATTCAGTAAAGAACCTGGCAATGCCATGTTGGCTAATATCTTCCTTGTTCTCTAGAAGTTGGCACACTGCGTCCTCCATGTATGTTAGGACATGTTGCTGGGCTGCAAAAACAGAAAGAGAGAAAGCGAGAGACAATAAAATAAAATAAAAGCCCTCCTGAAGGGACTGGGGAGGGTGGATGTGGAGGGAGGGAGAAGGGGATTAAGTGGCACTATAATTAGCAATCACAATATAGGTAGGTCATAGGGAAGGCAGTAGAGCATGGAGAAGACAAGTAATGACTTTATAGAATCCTACTAGGCTGACAGACAGTGACTGCAATGGGGCGGGTAAGGACTTGATAATATGGGTGAATGTTGAAACCACAATGTTGTTCATGTAAAACCTCCATAAGACTGTATATCAATTAATTAAATAAAAGCCCTCCCAAGCTCAGTAGGAAGCCATAGAAGTTAATCAAGGTGTTGGTTCTGCCCCAGCAAGTAGACTAGAATGGGCAAATGTGGAGAAAATGGAAGTTCCTCTGACCAGAATCCTCACCTGACCCTAAACTACTTGATGATGTAATTGGCCTACTGTTAGGCTAATACTTCCACACCTGTAGGCAATAAGCTATTATTGACTGAGTCACTATATAAAGAGCTCAACCCAGTGCTCTGTGCTGAGGCAGAGATGGAGGTGGATTATGGACTTGTAGACTGCTGGATGCAGACATGATTCTAGTGCTTGACCAACTGCTGTGAGAGAAAAGCCAGGTATAAACCCTTTTACCACAAGAATGTTTCATTGTCATTTTTCATTCTCACTGAATCCATAGTGAACTTGCCTGGGGTTAAAATCCTCAGGCAGGATAGCAAACCAAACCTGCTGGCCCTAACAGCTATGGTCTCAAAAGGTAGAATGGGAGGCAGTGCAGAATGTGACTTACTGCCATCTAACTGGCAGTAACATCAACCCTTCTCTTTCAATGATGGGGATGTGGAGCTTTAGAACCACTTAACACATACACCTGTAAATTCTTTCCTTCCCACCTCCTCCTACCCTCTCCCACATCTGAATGTTTCAGGAACTTATCACAGGAAGTTTTTATTCCATGCCTAAAGTGTGGATGATGTGACTGCAAAAAAAAACAAAAACAAAAAAAACAAAAACCATATTTATTTAATATTTAAAAGTCACTGGAAAAGTTTAAGGAGCATGAAAATTTCAGTTAATGCTGTTATAAGTAATCAACCTAGGTAAATAATAGGAACATGGGTGGGAGAATATATTTGTAATGACATATGCAACAAGAGGTTAACATCCAAAATACATAAAGAACACATATGCCTTAACACCCAAAAAGCAAATAACCCAATTAAAAAATAGGCAGAGGGATGGACAGGACTGTAATGGGGTTTGTGGGGGAGACTTGGTGTAGGGGAGAGCCTAATAAACATAATGTTCTTCATGTAATTGTAGATTAATGATAACCAAAAAAATGGGCAGAGGATATGAACAGACACTTCTCCAAAGAAGAAATTCAGATGGCCAACAGGCACAGGAAAATATGCTCCATATTGTTAATTATCTGGGAAATGTAAATGAGATATCACCTCACACCAGTTAGGATGGCCAACATCCAAAAGACAAGCAACAACAAATGCTGGTGAGGATGTGGAGAAAGGGGCACACTCCTACACCGCTGGTGGGAATGTAAATTATTTAACCATTGTGCAAAGCAATATGGAGGTTCCTCAAAGAATTAAAAAGAGAAATACCATTTGACCCAGGAATTCCACTTCTAGGAATTTACCCTAAGAATGCAGGAGCCCAGTTTCAAAAAGACAGATGCACCCCTATGTTTATTGCAGCGCTATTTACAATAGCCAAGAAATGGAAGCAACCTAAGTGTCCATCAGTAGATGAGTGGATAAAGAAGAGGTCATACATATATACAATGGAATATTATTCAGCCATAAGAAGAAAACAAATCCTACTATTTGCAACAGCATGGATGGATCTAGAGGGTATTATGCTCAGTGAAATAAGCCAGGCAGAGAAAGATAAGTAACAAATGATTTCATTCATTTGTGGAGTATAATAACAAAGCAAAACTGAAGGAACAAAATAATAGCAGACTCCAAGAAGTGACTAGTGGTTACCAAAGAGCAGGGGCAGGGGAGGATGAGTGGGGAGGGAGGGAGAAGGGGATTGAGGGGTGTTATGATAGGCACACATGGTGTGGGGGGGGGGTCATGGGGAAGACAGAGAAGACAAGTAGTGACTGTGGCATCTTACTACACTGAACAGTGACTGCAATGGGGTGTGGGGGAGACTTGATAATATGGGCGAATATGGTAACCATAATGTTGATTATGCGAAACCTTCATAAGAGTGTATATCACTGATACCTTAATAAAAAAAAGAACATGGGATACTTCATTACAGATGGTGGCATGAGAGGAGAGATAGGCTTCCTCCTAAAACTGGATACAATTAGAAAATATAGTTGGCACAACTAATCCTGAGAGAGCAACAGGAAAGAGGATGGCATCAGACAGCATACACCTGGAGAAAAGAGCAGACCTCAGTGAACGGGGTAACGTACCAGAGCTGTGGCTCCATGGGACCTGAGCCCTTCCCCCACCCCAGCTCACTGCCAGGAGGAAGAGAAACAGAGCAAGGAGGGAGTGGAAGGCTTGGGACTGCTAAATACCTAGCTCAGAGATCTGCTCTGGGAGCACAAACCTACATTTCATAGTGCTTTCATGAGACTCACATGACTACCAGGTTGGAAAGTTAATACAGGCAGAGTTCCTGGGGAGACCAGGATTCCAGCCACTTGTGGAAAACAGGGATCCATATCCAGCTGCTTTGGGACAAAAACATATACCTGCATGACTGGCCCATTGGTCCAGGCAGTGGAGATAGGCACAGCAGCTGGGAGGCAGGGAACAGCTCTTTCTTCCCCCCAGGCACCAGTACCACTTCCCTGCAACCCCCAACATTGCTTCAGGGGCTGAGCAACTCCAGAATAGAGCTTCTGGACACTAGAGGGCGCCCTATACAAACACAAAATACCAAAGGAACCTTGTCCAGAGTAAAATTATTAATACAACTACCAAGAAAGATTTAAATGATATGGACCTTGTGACTCTTCCTGAAAGGGAGTTCAAAATAAAAATCATCAACATTCTAATGGAGGTA